CTGAATTTTTAAAATGTAAAAGAAAATACATGGTTTGGTGTAATATCCTCTTTTCTAGGTTGGATCATATTGTAAGTTCTTATTTTCTATAGTGAAAACTACTAGATTGGTCCCAGAGTTTTTACCTAGGTAAGGGTTTTCTCCGTCATCAAATCTTGTGTTATTTACTGTTTTATTTATTATTGCAGCAATTGAACATATGATAACTTGACTTGATTAACTAATTATCTAGAACAATTAAAATGTGACTTGTTTCTTTTAATTGATAAATTTATAAACCTGAATTTTTAAAATGTAAAAGAAAAAACATGGTTTGGTGTAATATCCTCTTTTCTAGGTTGGATCATATTGTAAGTTCTTATTTTCTATAGTGGAAACTACTAGATTGGTCCCAGAGTTTTTACCTAGGTAAGGATTTTCTCCGTCATCAAATCTTGTGTTATTTACTGTTTTATTTATTATTACAGCAATTGAACATATGATAACTTGACTTGATTAACTAATTATCTAGAACAATTAAAATGTGACTTGTTTCTTTTAATTGATAAATTTAATTTCGCGTTATTCACCTATCAGGTGATTTTAGAGTTGAACTAATAACTTTCACCGCAATTACTAGCAAATTTGTACAAAAACGTGGCTGTGGACATGCAATTTGTTGAAATTTCTTTGGGTTTGGACAACCTTGTTTTAATGTATGATTCAGAATGACACACAATGTCTCGAGAAATACCCGAACTGATGTTGATATCTTGAGCCGTGTAGCTAAAAATGTTAATCAAAATCAACAATTAATTTTGTTCATATATTTTATGGTATCGATAATTTTTATTAACTTTTCAACCACACGCTTTATCAAATTTTATCAAAATTCACTAAAAATCTGATTTTTAGCTTCTTTTCTCATTTTATTGCAATGAACTATACACATTCTTGATGTTTATTTTGTATTCAATGCTGCTTCTTAAAATCTGCTGTCAGATGGTACATATTCTTCAATAAACATTTTTTTTAAAAAAATCATCAAACACTTAAAACAACCTTACTTGTTTAGGCAATCAAAAGTTGGGATCTAAAAACAATCTCAAACAAAGTCTAAATTGAGATTGCATTACGTTGTGGTGACTTTCAAACCCTCATATGTAGTTTTAATGTCACATTCACGTACAAAACCGCATCATTGAGTTTATGAAAAAAATAAAGTCGCAATTATTTGGAGTTGTTGACGAATTGTTATTGATATAACTCTTGTATGGCTTTAGTCGCGTGTTTTGATCGCTCTTATATTACAATACCTATGGCCTCAACCGTGAAGTTAATTGTCACGTTTATTATGTCTAGAATGAGACGTTTTGACAACCGCATTTAGTTAAAATCTTTTGATACGTGATTTCATGCTTAAATTTTGAATTCTCGAGTATTTTTGCCTTTTTTATATCTCTCGTATGTGATCTCAATTTTGAACTTAAACGCAAATGTGGTGTTAAGTAACTGTGACTGTCACCGTGTGTGACCTCGTGTACCTCTTATGGTCATTATACTATCAAATTTGAAATCTGATGATTTGTTTTCATTATACTAATTCACTTATAAATGAACTCTTTTAAGTTTGCCAAACATGACTCAATGTTAAAAAGACAAAAATACCCTTCACGCACCCCTACCCCCACCTACTTTCTTTCTCTATAATGTTATTTTTCCAACCATTTATCATTCCCACCACCACCCTTTCAACCCCCATGTTTTTCTATATACTCCTCAATTTCACCCTTCTCATACTCGCCTACCAGCTCTATCAGAAACTCTGATTCCGAATTCCTACGGGTCCGCAGATGTTGGTGGTGGTCGAAAACCTTTAATAGTGTAGCCGGTGAGGTTTCGCTGCTTCGCCTAGTGGGCACAAACCTATGGTCCAATTATATCTGTTTGGTTCGGGTCGACTCTCAATTTTATAGTTTCCAACACAAAATTGGCCAAGGAAGTGTTGAAGGAGCACGATCAATAGTTGACCGATAGGCATAGGAGGAGGAAATAGTGGAAGATGGTAGGTTGACCCGACCATCTTTCCACAATGGTTGTTGACTATTTTAAAAAAAGGAAAAATTATTAAACACATATAAGGCAATGAAAAGCCATTTTTACCCTCACACGATTTTTAAGAGAGAAAAGAGAGGAAAACACTGTAGAGAAATCGATGACCCATACGGCCAAAAAATCGAAAACCCAAACCGCCATTTCTTTGAAGAATGTAAGTTCCGGAATTTTATATACATCAATTGAATAAATAAAGCATGTTGTATGTTCATTTGTTGAATAATCTTTGTAGAAATTGTTGTAGATCATAAATTATGGATGAAATTGAGGATTTTGGCACACATTGGGAGCGGAGGCGATCTCCGCCATTTGCAGCGACTGCCCGTCGCCGTCTGGATTCCAGACACCTGGGCAGTCTGGAATCCAGATGGCCCAGTTAACTGGGTCGCCTAGTTTCTGGGCCGTGTGGATTCCAGACGACCCAGGCGTTCAGAATCCATATTGTTGATTGGGCCGACTGGAATCCAGGCAGCGCAGTCATCTTTTACTTTTTCCTACTTAGTTATTTAATTGTTTAATTGATATTTAATTATTTAATTTAAATATTTATTTAACATTTAATTTTAAATATTACATAATTATTTATTCAATATTTATTTTAATTGTTTATTTAATTTTAATTTTTTAATTTAATATTAATTACAGTTTAATTTTTTCTTGAATTTTAATTATTTATTTAATATTTAATTGAAATAAATAATTAACAATTAAAGTAAACAATTAAATATTGAATAAAAAATTAAAATAAATAATGAAATATTCAATAAACAATTTAAATAAAAAATTAATATAAATATTACATAAAAAATTAATTTTTTTTTTGTAAACAACTTTAAAAATTCACGAAAAAAGCATAATTAAATAAACAATTTAAATAAATTATTTATTTTAATAT